CAAATTGTTGATCTTTCTCCCAAAACGCCTATAAATACTCAACTTTCCTTCCTCCAAACTTTCAAAATTCTTGAATCTCTTGCCATTTGCCCTCAAAACCCAGAAAAGAAACCATACCTTAACATCTAGAAAAAACCATCTTCATCAATGGCGTCCAATACCTTTATCAATAAACTCATCGAAGAATGCAACAGATGCCGAAACATCACCTACTAGAACAATACCAAAATCATCTGATTTGACCAAACTCTTGGCCTACTTTTCAAGGATGATGTCTTATAAGCGATCACCGAGATGTTGCAAGATCATTGCCTGAAACCGTTGTTATAAGGGTATGATTGGTAGAAATGGGAATTGGCTAAACCCCAAGGTGTCTGGCCCTCGACCACTGCGTCCTGGGCCTCTTGGGTCACTTGAATGGAGTTATACTTTGGCAACAAGTGGAAATCTCTCGGCATTTTTGATGCCATCAAACTCTCAACCATCGAGATGAACATGGATCGAGAACTTGTGAAGGCTGCCTTAAGTTTCTGGTGCTTAACCACCAACACGATGGTCCTTCCTCTCGGCCCCATTGGCCCAACGGTGCTGGATATCACGTCCATACTCGGCACTTCCCCCTTCGGCCTTCCAATCGATACTGCTATCTTTGAGTCTAAATTCGACCTAGATCTGAAAACAACCTTCGAGGAATGCGCCATTGAGGCCTTGACGAAAGAAGACCAAAGGCAGTTGATAGAAGATGTGCAGAAACTACACAAGAATTTTTTCAACTACAACACCCTGATCACCCACTTCGCCGGTTCATAAAATGAAGATCTTAAGAAGGGAGAACACGAGGCCTTCTTATTCTACTGGTACAACAAATACATTTTTTGTGCCAAGTCAAATAAGTGTTTGGCCGAGAACATGCCAGTCGTCGAGGCCCTGGTAAGTGGTCATGTCCTAGACCTTAGTCCGGCCATCCTCGCTAATCTCAATCTGTGCCTAGCTGATGCTTTCGTGGGGAAAATCGACCCTCACCAAAATGGCCCGCTCTAGGTCTTCCAGCTTTGGCTGCATGTGTATTTCTCGACATTGCGACCAAAAGTCCCACGCTTCAATTCTTTCGAAGCAATGGGTCTTGAGCTGGCTTCACGCCCCATTCCTCTTCACTCGGCCGAGAAATCTTCAAATATTTCTTCAGCCTAGAAGACATGTCAGACGATGAATTCATAGTCTCGTCGTCAGATGACATATCATTCTTCCCCAATCAATGTGGGAAGAGGCCAAGGAAGCCGATCTTTAACAATCCTACGGGTCATTCATCATTACTCGCGACCTACCTTATGGTTACGAAGCTCGACGAGGAAGCTGGGAAGTTTACCATCCCAACATTCCGATTCGACAATTGGGCTATCTCCAAGGGTGCCCTATGTTGCTAATTGCTTATCGCTCACTTTTGAGTCGAGAACGTTTCTCCGGCTCTTCGGAGAGAGAATGTAAGATGGTCGAGGATGAGTTCAAGGGGCGGTGCACCAAATTCCACCTTCGACTGAACACTCTAAAAACCCAATGTGCCAGCATCTTTGCCGAATGGTGAGATACTTACACCAATGATTTCTTTAGTACTTCGGCCGAGGAAATCTCACAGAAACATTTTGGCGACCGCCCCAAAAAAACTCTTGCTCCAAAATCCAAAGAAACGGCCCAAGGTATACATCTATGTCTACTATTTTCCCTTGATTGTTCATTTAATACTTTATTTTAACTCAACCTCAGTTTTTTTAGGTAGCCGTACACTAAAGCGGGATGATGTGGTAGCAATGGTAGCGGCCAAGAAGAAACTTGCCCTTTCTTTGAAGAAGATTGCAGCCGCTACGCCGACCATGCCGAGCAAACGGCCTCACCCAGAGGCCGAGCCAGCTGGTGATGCTCAATTTCTCAAAAAGCATGTCAAGAAATTGGCAAAGAAAGGGGAACGTGAGATTCATGTCATCTTTAGCCAAACCACAGGAGCAACTGCTCCTAGTGTTTCTCCTTCCACTCCTATTATCCATGTCTAGATGGGAGTGCAGCAAAACCTTCTAACGGATCAAGCGCCTGAAGTTCGTTCCGTCCCTCAAGTTATGGTCAAACCGGTTGTTGCTCCGTTGGTTAAAGGACTTGTAGCTCTGGGGCCGGTAGTTGCTCCTCAAGCCAGCCTAGTAACTGCTGTCTTGGAGAAGGTGGCCACAATGGCCGGGAAAAGCCCTCCCCCAAATCCAAAAAAGAGACCGATGATCGTTTTGGAAGAAGAAGTACGACTATTCCTGATGACAATTTTCTTATCTCTTAACTGGATTTCCAAATATTTAAAAAAAAAATTGTTTAGGAGGATGAGAACGAGGGAATCCCGCTGATGAGGCTCGCGTTGGGCTTGCTTTGGTAGCACGACTTGGGTCGTGGTAATGGTGACACCATGCACCTCGCCACGGGTGGCTATCCTGGTAGCCACTGTGGTGGTTCCCGTGGTGGAACCTTGTGGTGGTGGTGCCGCTCCCCTTAAGATTACATTTAGTCTCGTGGATTGCCGCAGTCCCATTTCTTGAATATTGAAATTTTCACTTGTGGAATTTTTTAAATTTCTAGCCATTGTATTTCTCTTTTATGTTTTATCAAAGAATCTTTGCAAATAAAAAATTCTAATAATAAGAACATATAAAAAAAATGCAAGTGTACTAGAAAATAGAGAAAAACCTTTTTATGCGAGAGTCTTCTACGAGTGTGTCTCTTGATCTTGGACAATATTGCACCTACAAAACAATTAACACCTTCGGGTCAAGGCCAAGAGCCTCACGCGCCCACGATGAATGGGGAGAGGCTTTGGCCGAAGAACCTCCGATGCCAAAGTTAGAATTTAGATAGAAAAGTGTTTAGAGAGTTTTTGGAGTTTTGCAAGAGTGTGGACTTAGTCTTTCAAAGAAAATGGAGTCCTATTTATAGAAAATGGAATTAATCCATTAATTAGCCTAATTAATTTACTTTATATGGAAGGTTTTGAAGGTTATGGAATGATTTCCTTGTAGAGGATATGGAGTAAATATGGATGAGATAAATTTGAACTTGTTACCTATTTTGGGCACTCTTGACTCGGTTGATGGATGATTCTCCACTACTCACGTGTAGGAAACTCGGTGTGTCTCGAGGGTAATTTTGTTCTCTTCACCTAAAAATCCACGTGTCGCCTCTTGATTATTTTTTGGCTCCACAGTCTGTACTCGAAGCAGAGCCATCCATGATGATCAACACGTGGACAACATGGGCAGTTTGATAATTTAACTGTTCCAAGTTGAAAAGGGAAAGGGACATGGAGAAGAATTTTTAACTGTTAGTGAATAGTTCTTATTAACTGGGTTTTACTATAGAAGGATTTGCAGAATTTGGGCAAACTACGTGTGTAGTTGTTGTAAGTATGAGGTGTCGATTTAAGAGAAACCATTACATGATAAGTTTTTTGTTTAGACGGTGGAGAAATCTTTTTATGTACTGTAAACACAAACCGATACACTATGTATCATAATAATTAATATAAAGTTTGTTTTTTAAATATGATGTAAAAACTTGTCTGATGACACATGATGTTGAACTTGTGTTTCAAGTATACTACTGTTTAGGCCCAAAATATCAGTTTGGGTCGAGTATAGAATCATTCTCGGCCCGGAAGGCCTTACGACAAGGTTACCATGGATCGTTTAATTCGTGGGCTTCCAAGCCTAGGACGGTTAAGTCATGCTGCAAGACGAGTCAAATCCTGGCACAATAAGGAGTCACGGCGAGATTAATAACCAGGAAGTGAATCCAGCTCGATAAAGGACTGGGTTCAAAATCGTAGTGAAAATAGGACTGGTCGAGTTGGAGTTTGATTAGGAGAAGAAGTCCTAATCCGAGTAGGGTTTTAACTCGACCTTGAAGGTATCCGGTGTTATAAATAGAGAAGGCTGTGCATTGTTCAAGGCTCTCCAATTTAACACACAACTGCCCTGCGCAAACTCTCTCAACAACTTGAGATTTTTTATTTTCTCTTTTCGCTGACACATTTTCCGTTGGCATCAATAACACTGTGGAAGCAACCGGTGATATCTTCAGTCGGCATAGATAGCTCTGTCGTCATATAATCAGCCGATTTCGCAGCATCTTCCGTTAGCATCAACAACACTGCGGCGAGGACGGTTGGTTACCTATCCAAGTCTCGGTCGAGAAGGATTTTCGAATCCTTATTGGTCGAGGTCATCTCATTAGCCTTCTTGGCGAGGTGAGGTGTTACAGTTTATTAGGCTGGGCACATTACATGCCGAGTTGGTTTATGATTGGATACTCTCGAGTGGGATTTAGAGTTCGGCATTCCGACGGCCGAACCACGTTTATTGTTAAGACACATATCTGCTTTGAGTATTTGTGCCCTTACACTTTGGTGTCAATTCGGCGAAAGTTTACTCTGACGAATACCATCACTGTGGCTGAATCCGACGACGACGATTTGTGAACTTCATAAGAATAGTAGCCTTGTCTTCAGGTTTGAGAACCCAAGAGGCCGAGACGTGTTCCTTCCTCGGTCGCAATCGCAAGACGCAGAAGTCAGCCGCGCACTCAATGCAACATCAACAAATTTTACTCCTCGGCCGACGAGTTGGCATGCCCTGCATTCAACCGAAGGACGTAGTTAGCTCATAGATTACTCGGCCTGCGCGCCACGTAGGCTTGGTAGTTTTTAGGGTCAACAACTACAAAATCTCTTTGGGCGGTGCACGTTACATCGTTTCCCACAGCCGGGAATCTATTTTTAATTGTGTAGTAATTGTTAACTTTGTTATGGTTATTATTATTATTATTTTTTTAAGTAAATGATATTATCTACAATAATGGATTGGAAAAGTGAGTTAAACCTTACAACATTCTAATAATAATGTGGTTCAAATTCGGTATAGACAAAAATCAAATCCCTCCCTTAATAAGTGAAGAGACCAAGCCGTGAAGAAACTTCCTACCCAAAAAGCAACAGAGCGGTCGGACCGGTTGTTTTGGCTGATGCTTTGATGAGCACCCCAACTCCGTCTTAAATTACCAAAACACCTCCCCAAAAATCCAACATAAAATCCTCTAAATCCCCAGATTCAGGCAGGACTGACCTCTGCAAATCGAAATTTTTCCAGGTAATACTATCCCTTTTCGTTTTCCTTTCCCCCCCATTTTACTTATTTATATTTCCCTTTCTATCTTGGTCTCGGTTTTTTGATTCGGTAATGTTTATCCGGGAGCTGCTTTGTACTCTCCTTCTTGTTTGGTTGCCCAGAAAATCGACGGAAAATGATGCCCTTTTCCTTCTTCCCGTTGTTTCAATCATCACAAAGTTTAATACTTTAGCTTAAGTTACGTAGATGATTAATCATTAGGCGTTATAATCAAGCTATTTACTTTGTAGTGGAAGCTAATTACTTGGTCTAAAACGAAATCTTGAAAAAAACTGCACGCTTGATCTGGAAGTTATAATTTCAAACTCGATTTTAAGAAAGCACTTTTTAAAAAGTGCTTTTTTTTATTATGCTTTTTCTTTGAGTTAGAAGAAATTTCCTCAGGCAAATAATTTCAGTGTCTTATACTGCATTGCAAGTTTGCGACCCTTTTATCTCATCATTTGTCCCAATTTGTCATCATTTGTCAGTTCAGATTCTCATAAACCTTTTTGGGCTTTCAGCAATTATGGTGTTAAGAAAGAAACATTGCATCCAAATGAAAAAGTTGACATCCTTTGAAATTTTAGTGCTAATAATGATGCTGTATGTTTCTGATTGCTAGTTTTGAGTTGGAAGAGATGTTGATGGGTCATGCAGACGGTACATCTGAGCCTCGGTCATCCAAGGATCGGTTACTTCCTTATGCTGAATCATCCGAGTTAGATGATGTTGACACTGCAGACTGTTCTGAGCAAATTCTTCACACGGCCTCCTTCGAAGAGCTTGCAAAGAATATCGTTAAGTATGACACTGTTATATGGCTTTCTATATCGCTGTTGCTGGTTTTAGCTTGGGGAGTTGGCATCATCATGCTTTTATATCTGCCCTTTAAGAGATATGTTCTTCAGAAGGATGTTTCCTCACGAAAACTATATGTTACGCCAAGTGAAGTAGTTTACAAGGTGCACACCTTACTTGAATTCTTCCCATATTTCTAATTGTCTTTAAACTAAATGGAATTATTCTATTTTCGCATCGTTGATCACACGAAAGAAAAACAATGCATCGAGGTAATACTTCTTCTCTTTCTCGTCCTTTTTCCACAAAGGTTTCGAGGCCATCTTTCATACCCTTCTGGGGCATCACTACAATTGAGAAGCATGTACCCCTTTCCCTGGTGATTGACATCATTATAGAACAAGGTAATGATACTGGCCTTACTGTGCTCTATAACCTACTTCCGTTGATTCATATGCCTGCATGTATTACATGATTAATCTTTGTAATTGTTGATGTTAGTTTGCAATTTGAATTCATGCATATAATTTTGTTTCCAAGTCATCAGTGTTTAGCGTGAAACTATTATATTTCCAAAGCTGCATTGTTGAACAAGATAGATGCAGGGAGTAAGTAGTCCTGTAAAAAGGTGGCGGATAAGGATTTGGCATGCAAAACCAGGTTTATTAAGTGCATAATGGATATTTAATGCAGAAATAAATGAAGTTACCACAGCTAGAAGTAGAATTCCAGAGAGCACAAGGTCTCTCAGTGCCTAACACTGTATAAAAGTTTGATAATGTGAACTGTAATGGATGGAAAGTTGCACATTGGTTTGGAACTTTGCATCATACATCTCCACATTAGCATGTTGATTATAAATTTGATATCAATATTCTTTTGGGTTAGCAAAACTACATGACGTAGCCAGAACAAGTGAAAGTTTAAAGACTAATGGTATCTTCTGTTGCATTATGCATAGGTTGCTTGCAGTCAAGGTATGGAATTCATACCTTTAGAATTGAAAGTATAGCATGTGGAAAAGCCGCAGCTGTAGATGAACTACAGGTTCAAGGGGTTTCTAACCCTAGTGGTTTGAGGAAGGTGACTAAAACTGCCTTTTAGTTGTGTTCTAATTTGAATCAGCAAAATTAATCAGATTCTTTTTTATATGTGTTTTGGTGGCGTACTATTGTTTAGTCTTACAACCGTTGAAAAACTTGTGATGTTAAAGTATAAATTGGGTGTTTGTTGTTGTATGACTAGTAGGTAATCATAACAGAAGCTTCAAAAGCCATACGAGAAAGTGGTGTAAGTTGGAAGCCTACTGCCACCACTGCTGAAGGGGAAAGCATGGCTCGTACTGGATCATTGACCGAGGGACCTCTTGTTTTGAGATCGCCATCTAAAAGCTTAAAGGTATATGTTGATGAAACTGCTGCAATAAGAACTTTTTTCCGTCTTTGTCAAACTTGTTTCAGTTCTAATTTTATTGACAACGCACTCAATTCACAATCCCTGTCCAGTTTTGTAAAGTAGATCGATGGTGTATTGATTAAACATGTTTTTGCCCATATGATGCAGATGTCAGCATCACCACGCTATGCTTCAATAGAACGCAGAGGCATAGTACCTGGGGATTTACTACTTAATAAACTTGACGAAGTCAATAAATCTGTGAAGGTATCTTCACCCTCCCTTTATTTTATTTTTCTCTGTGGAGCGGACAAAAATAAAATGATTTCATCTCGATAGCTGCTTGATTAATGATTTGCAAACTTCAAATTATTTAATTATAGGTGTTCAATTATTTATTTTCTGAAACTACTCATCTTCCTAACAGAGAATCGAGTTGTTAATTGAGAAGTCCCGTGCACACCCCGAGTCCTCAACTGAAATGAAGTCAGATGTACGCTAGGCCTGTGGATGTACCTTTAACAAACAACAAACAGCAGTGAAAGAAGAGAGATGTATAAATATTTCTGCATGTGTCTGTAACTATTGGAATGGGTTACTAAGGGCTCCCCGGTTGCCTCGGTTGTAGCTGTACAAGATGTTGCAACCTAAAAGCGTTTTGAACAGCGGCTCATCACGATTCCCTTTTGTTTATCTTATGGTAGAGATTTGCAGTTTCTTACGATCTTTGTAGTTTCTCATTGACTGTGATATTGCATAGATATAATTCACCGTATGAAATTTCAGTTTTTAAGATGCATTCGTTTATGTTTCGAAAGGGAAGAAACCTCAAAGATTTCGGGTTCTCATTACGAATTGGTCATGAATATTGTTTCATAGGGCCATGTTATATCATGATATGCAAAGGACCTCTGAGGATATTTTTCTTAGCCTTTGCCAAAGAGATGAAGGTCCACTGAGTGAAAGGGCCAATTCATCATCCACTTCTACCGACGGAATCCTAACTTGATACATTTAGTCAGTATTCTCCAATGCTCAAATTAGTCTATTTGACTAAGTTAATCAGTATATTTACGAGACCATAAAGAAATTAAATAGAGAAATGAACATATAAGGCAGAAAAGCTCTTGTTGAGCATTTTCAAAGTACATGTTGTTTTGTTCCATTGTTGAGTCCCGACGACGATCTATGAAGATTATGCCGCATGTACTAGACCAACACATAATACATCAACGAAGTCAATGCATTGACATATTGCATTTAGATCACATCAGCAAAGCATCAAAAGATTGAAGTCAAGCAATCCGAAGAACCTTGCCGACCTCTACACAACTTCCCTGCCAAAGTCTACCTTCCATAAGCTTGTTCAAGGAATTGGTACACATAACTATCTCATTAGCAATGTTTGTAGTTCTCATTTGGAAGTTTTGTCTAAGTCAAGGGGAATATCCTGAAGTATACTCATTTGACCTTAATGTACTTTTTTTTCCGTACAATTATGTCTCTACCTTACTAGGTTTTAACGAGACATTCATCCTGGCCTGGTCATACTCTTGTGACCGTTCTACTTGCATACCGAAGACGTATAGTTTTGACTTAGTGCAACTTCTCATGTTTCTTCTTAAGCTATGAGTTTTTATTCTATCTTGGGTTTTACCATAGTGAGGTTTTGTGGGTTTTACTACCTATGTATTCTTCCGTTTGTTTTGAGACTCGCATTGGCTACTTGTGCCGACTAGACAAGATGAGTTTATCAACTGTTTCTACATTTGCCTAAAGACCTGATACGCTATCCATTTGAGTATTTACACACTCAAGGAAAGTGTTGTGAATATACTTCTAGCACAAGTGTGATTGTGTAAATCATTAGTAGATTGTACTTAGGATAATAGAAGATCATTTCCCTTTAGAATTGTATTACTTGCAAGGCAAGAAATTCTCTTTGGTTTACTATAAACTAGTATATGCCCACATACAAAGTATGTGAAATTTTTTACTTTTATTTTAAATTGAAAGAGAGAGAAAGAGAGTGAGAGAGAACGTGGGAGTGGGGAGGAAGGGAGAAATGTTATTTTTTTATTTTTTTACTTTTTGTAAATGAGAAATGATAAAATTACCTGTAGGTGAGGTTTAAAAAGAACAACAAAATTTTGTTTTGTGAAATTACATTATTGTCCTTAACTTTTTTTTTTTTTTTTTTTTTTTGTGATAGAAAACAAAAATGTATTTTCACTCTCTTTTAGTTGACAAAGAGGGTTTTATTTATATGTAGTTTAGATAAAGACACAATGCATGGGGAATAACACATAGAATTCCTCAAGCCTATTCTCTCAGATAAAATAAGTCATAACAATTAGGTTATTTTGTTAAGAAGAGTTTAGGGAAGCCATTTTCATTAAAGCTCTCAAAATTTTTATGAGTGTGTTGTAGGCCTATTTAACTAAGCTATTCTAGGGGAATAGAGAGAGGGAGGCCGGCGGTAGTGAGAGAGAGAAGAGAGAGATTTAATTGTGAGGTGTGTGTTGTATCACCCTATTATGCCTTTATTTATAGTAGTAGGATAGGTTAAATCCTTACCCCTTTAGGATTACAACTCTAATAGGAATTAGACTACTAAAAGGAATATAAAAGATATCCCTAGATACACTAGGATTTACACAATCGCATTCCTATTCTAAATATGGCTGTAACACTCCCCATTGAGTGTGTAAATACTCAAACAAAACATCGCATCAGATCTTTAGCAGATAAGGTATAACAATTGATGAAGTCGGCAACATAACGGGCGAGTGCGAGTCTCAAATTAAAGAAAGTATGCATTGGTAGTAAAACTCACAAAATCTCGCTATGGTAAAACCGAAGGTGGGAGAAAAACTTATAGACTAAGGAGAAAGGTGAGAAGTATGCATAATGTCTAAAACAAATGTCAAACAGGACGAAAGTTGTGAACTCAACGGAGTATGATCATCCTAGGATGGGTGCCTCATTGTAATGACCCGTCCCTAAAAATTATGGTTTTTATAATTTTAAAATGTGGAATTACGAAAATGCCCTTCGAGGCAAATATGTTGACTTTTGTGGACTGCCTTGTCCTATCACATAAGATCTGTTTTCTTGGAGTATCCTCATAGTACTCATCACTACGAACACGTGGGTGCAAGCGAAATCAAATTTGGAGTTATAACGAAGGAGTTATTAACGAACGAAGTTGAGGGCAAAATGGTCATTTGACCATAAATCTAGAAGGCTCTAGATTTTGCTGGAGCAATCAGTTGATGCCACGTGTGTGGCTGAGATGGAAAAGAAAGGAGAGAAAATGAGGAACTGGACCAATCAGAAAAAAAAAGGGAGGTGATGAGTGACCAATGAGAAGAGAGAGCAAGGAGGGAAATGAGGGAGGAGAGAAGGAGGGGAACCGGCTGGGTTCCCCTTGACCCGTGTGACCCAACCTTGTTTCCTTGGAAATTTCCAATGGTTTTCCGTTGATTTCTCTGGCGAACCATGTCAAACAATCATCTGTGAACCACTCCACGTCTTTCCCTCTACCAATCCCACCCCAAAATGGAAGAAATTGGACCCGATTTCAAGAAGAATAGCACTGATGGGTGCGGTGGTTCCATGACGACAATTTGTCCTTTTCTGAAGCCAACTCCATTGACCACCACCACCAATGGACTCCCCTCAACCTCAGGAACAAAGCCCAATGCATTGGTTGTGGCGTCAGAGCTTGTTTGGAGTCAAATCAAGAACACCTAATTCTAGGATTTCCGGCAGTTCGAGGGTGATTTGAGGTGTATCCTAGCCTAATTGGACTTTGGCCCAGGTATGAAAGTTGTTCCCCTCATTGAGATCTTCATTCCTATAAAATTTGGAATTTTTGGAGTTGAATTTTCCTACAAGTCGGGGCTGTCGGCCTTCGCGTGGCCCTTTGGCCGCTGTCCCATGACAGCTCGTGTGGTGATGCATGCGAGAAAACCCGAGGTCCCTCATTCGGTTTTCGACGTGCCGGATTTGAATTCGCCATCCGTTTTCCCAAATTCTAACATTTTAGTATAGTTTTACTAAATGGTCCCCAATTTTGTTTAGGCGCGTTGGCGGGAAGCGACGTCATTCTAGCTAGCTCAAGCAGCTCCCGGGCAATAAAATATCTGTCAATGGACCCCTTCTTAACTATTGTGTTTTATAAAATATTAGCCTAGCATGCATTGCATATTCTATGATTTGAATATGTTTTATATTATGCATTATGAACTTTTATAATCATGGTTTACGAAAGTTTGATTTATCAAAATCACGTTTTATTAAAGGTTATGAAATATTGAATTTGCAATTATGGATTTCTATGGATTTATTATGGTTATGAAGATGGTTTAAGCTAGAAAGTTATATGATTTTATGAGATGATGCTTTGAGCATTTGAACTTCGAGATTTAATATGAGTTTTTGAGACATGTTTTTGCTACTTATCTAATGGATTATCATACGGCACATCCGCACACCACGGGTATGGTCATATGACACAGTTGATGAGGAGAAGTGAGATAGGATATATGATATACCCCCAGCTTCACTGTCGAAAGCAGTGTCAGATAGCTTCACTAGCCACGACTAGTGTCGGTGTGGATGTATGCTATTTTATACAGCTTCACCTTCGGGTAATGGATAGGTTATTCATCTTCACCTTTGGGTGATGGATAGGTACTGCCTTCGGGCGACTATGATATCCCTAGTTGAGTATTTCATTGATGAGATTTAAGGAATTGCCTTCGGGCGGCGTTTTCAGCATTAATGAGCATGGTTTTACACATACATGTTTTACGAATGTTTTGCATGGCATGCTAAGGTTTTTCATAAAACCTATATGTAGTATTATATATGTGTTTTCAAAACAAGGGGTTATTATGGTTAGAATAAAAATGTTTTCCTATTATTAGTATATTATTATAAACTTTGGTCCACTCACCTTTTTGGTTTTTGCGCCCCCTCAGGAGTTAGGATCGAGGCACATGATCTTGGCATCAAGGCACTTCAGCTTAGGTATCTTCGAACCTCTTTTGTGTGAGCCTCATTCCTTGGCTCGTACCTTTCTATAATAATTCTTTCACATTATTCTTGCTTAGTTGTATGCTTTGAACACGATTCTACTTTGGTTTAATCTGTTCTAATTACATCTTTTAGTTATATGCATGTTTAAAATGGCTTCATCACCCTTGGGGCGTGTAACTCATCAAAACCTCATTAGGTATCAAAAACCCAGTGGGAAAAATGCTCCTAATCGTAGGAAAAAAAGTACATTAATATCAAGTGAGTATGCTCTAGGATACTCCCCCTGAGTTCGACATAACTTCCAAATAAGAGAACTACAAGCAATTCAATTCAGATAATTTATGCATACTGATTCCTTGGACGAGCTTCTGAAAAGTTGACATGTGCAATGACTTGGTAAAGAGATCGGCCAGGTTGTCTTGGGAACAAATTTGCTTGACTTCAATGTTATGATGCTATTGTTGCTGATGAGAATAAAAGAACTTCGGTGCTATGTGCTTGGTCTTGTCTCCTTTGATGTATCTTTTCTTTAACTACTCAATACATGCTGCATTGTCTTCAAAGATTGTCGTAGGAAGGTTAACGATGGAAGTAAGACCATTAGTGCTTCAAATATGTTCCATAACTATTCTTAACCAAAAACACTCACGCGATGCTTTATACAGGGCTCTCAACATGGTTCGAAGAAGTTGCAACTAGCGTTTGCTTGGTATACCTCCAAGATATAACGGTGTTTCCAACGGTAAAGACATAGC